CCATCATTTTCTCAACTGTATGTCTCAAGTCTGATCTTCTATTTAAGTTACAATGCAATAAGTGTAAGATTGAAATATAATATGTATAATAATCCCAGCCTTAAGCTTTTGATTGAGTGATGCCTTAAAAATTACATCAGCCACACTACTTAACATAAATTACAAAAATAATCTTATAATAATTTAAGCCTCAACCTTGCCCTATCTTTTTTACAAAGTATTATGGTGGCGTCCACCATTCCTCCGCGGGACAGAACCTGTATATTCTGCTACACTCTTCCATTTCATTTCCGGCATATTCTACGCTTTACACTACGCCATATCAAGCATCTTAGTCTTCATTCTATGTCTGGATCGGTGTCTTTTGATTAAAACTGGAATCAGTCATTGGAATGGCAAAAGACGAAGAATGTTCTTTATAGCTGGAATAATTATTTTAGTATTAGTATATGTTGGGGTCGGAGCAAGCTATTCGTTTGAATTTCCGTTGGATTATGATATTCGTAAGTTAATTATGTTTAAATTTAATTAGTGGAATTAATTAACGAAAGTAACAGTGAAATGAATTTAATAATGAAGGACAAGCTTAACCTTGCCTATTTTGTTTAGTTGGATTAGATTTCAACTCGGAACTTAGAAAAAAGTGCTGGGCATTGGGAGTATTTAATACCCAGACCATTTTCAAATCGCTTCCGGCTAGGTTCTGGAGCTAGCTAGGTCTGGAGCTAGCTAGGTCTGGAGCTAGCCCAGGTCAGGTTCTGGAGTTAGCTCCTGGACCCATCCAGATGCTTTAGACCTTAAAAATAGCATACAGACGAAGCTAACCTTCATAATACCACTCAATAATGATAATATATCTTCAAAACAAATTTTTAAAATTGGACTGGTATTTAAGTGATGAGCAGCATAATTGATACCGTATTTTCTCGATTAATTCCCCTGGGGAATTAATTTTTCAACCCTTCCTTGGCATGGGGAATTAATTGAGAGAGGGGAATTATTCGAGTTTGGCATTTGAACGTGCAGTAGGGTATTTGGGGGTGGGGAATTATTGTTTCAACCCTTCCTTGGCATGGGGAATTAATGAGAGGGGGAATTATTCGAGTGAGGGGAATTAATCGAGAAAATACGGTAATTCAATAAGGGATAACCTTGATATAGGAACTAATCTTATCAGTCCCGTGTGAATATAAAAATAAAATCCTACATTATTCTTGAATTCTACTGATAAAAAATTAAATTTAAAAATTGATTTTCTCAGTAATCCATTGCGAAACCCAATCATGTATGCAGCTTCGACTAAAAAATTATCCAATACTCGTTACAAAAACTTGTTTTGGGATAGCAAATATTATATGTTGCATTGTTTTTCTTCGGTTGCTTTCTCAACTTAGTGGGGAAGCTATTAAAAAATTGGTAGGGAAATTGCGATCCTTCCGATAATAACCTAAATCTGTTTATAGGACAACCGAATAATTAAAATTACTGTAATGATAGAAGTATTGCTTAATGTGATTCCTGGAGAAACTAACCTTATATATAAATTTGTAAGTATTGCATGATTTTTCAAAATTGTAGGGAAGACTAGAAATTTTCCAGAATTTATGTATACGAATTTCGATAAGATTTTACCTTCGGGCGTCTTTTCATCGTTAAAGTCAGCATAAGCCGTCACCTTATAGATAAGGCGTTTACCTGAGTTAGTTGTGATATCTAGAGTTAATCTAGGGTTGGATAATGATTTGACCATGATACCCCCCCCCCCCCCACTCTTTTTTCCTTCCTCAAAGTGTTAAAAATGGTCAGTCAGTCTTATATTACCGATTTTGGATCATTCGACACAGCTCGACGAGTTCTGTAATATAAGACTGACTGACCATTTTTTAACACTTTGAGGAGAAAAAAGGAGGGGGGTACGAACCGAAGAATTACCTATGGTTGTAGGCGATCTGTTAGTTTTTGATTGTGGAGGCTTAAGCAGAGAAATATAAGATCCTTTGAGGCGTTAGCAATATTCATCTCGTTGGGCATATCTGAAATGGACGAATTGTGAGGATACATAGGGAAAGATACAGATATCACAGAGATGTGATTTCGAGATTTAGTTTTATTAGACTTATAATAGTTATTTTTCTTAAACAAATACATATTTTCAGATCACTGGATATCCTCTAGCAACTTATACCGGCGAGAGTTCGTTTCTAACATTATCACTTGAATTAGCAATCTGTGCTGTATTCTATTGGAAAAAATTTAAAAATAATCCTATTACTCATGTCGGGCTGCCTTATTCCAATAAAATCTACAGTAGTCCAATGCAAGCTTGGTCTTCATGAGATGAATGATTTTGATAATTTGAGTTGCTTTAAATGATTATTTATAGTTTGAATGACTATTTTTTATTGATCTTTTAACTTTTGAGTATCATGATAAAAATTTTTTGTTTGTTTGTCTAAAATAGAACCTCCCCCCCTTCTCTAAAATATCCTGCCCATGGTTGTCGTTTCCAAACCACTTTAATGGGACGCTACCACTCAACGCTACCTGTAAATAGGATAAAACGACAACCCTGATCCTACCTCAAATAAGCGAACAAAGAAGCCCCTGAAGCTATTTTGGAGGAAATATGATAAACATAATTTATTCCTGTATATAATAGCGATCATAAATCCGGGCACAGCCCAAGTAGGCGCGCGGCCAAGTAGGTGCAAAGTCATAACTTGCTTCAAAATTTCAGAATCTTACCAAATTTGTTATTAAACGACTCCACTCATCGAGCTAAAGAGATTGTTACAAAATTGTTAGGGTCCATAAATTTTTCAGGTAGTTATGGCGTTTCGCATACTTGGCCGCGCGCCTACTTAGGCGTGTCCCCATAAATCCAAACAATTCATAATTTAAAGAAATTAACAAAATTATCATGTAATATATTAAAAATTTTCAAATAATTTTCAAGTAGCAACAACATCAATAACGTCGAAAAACTGTTCACATTTCTTTCGCAACTTGAAAAAATTTTTTATAAAAAATTTCTTGAAAATCTGGCACCAACCAAATTTATAAAATTTTCTAGCCCACAGTTTTTGTCAAAATTCTGTTCATTAATTAATATACAATTTTGAAATTCGCAAAGTTTAATGTGTGTGCTTTTGTCTGATAAAGCTAACAATCTTCCAAAATTATCATTAACATTTCCAATAAATAGAAAAACTTCTCTAAAATATTAAAATTACTCACAAATTTGTTTTCCTTTAATTAAATCAAGGTCTCTCCACGACCCTTCAGGATCGAAAAAAATTTGGGGTCGGGGTTGTCTAGTGCCTGAGGTGTCCGAAAGACTTTGGGATGAAACTTTAGGGGCTTATAACTCGGTCTCTGGTACTTCGAAGCGAAAATGGTGCGAATTTCAAAACAAAAGTAGAGTATCTATCTGTATACCAAATTTCATTCCGAAGTCCTACGGACACCTCAGGCACTCTCCTTGTTATGAATATTGGTTGTATCGGAATTGAACCCTAAAGACTTAAGAATGAATTTGGTAATTAATGTTAGCTTGTGGAACCGATTCAAGGATCTCAAATTTAGAATCTTGTACATGCCACTTTTATTTTTCCTTAATTCTGCTTTATATGCCTTTGGTTTTTAATTTATTATATAATTTTTCCCCTCTATTTCGAAGAGATAAAAGATAAATTTAGAATGAAAAGGAGACTTTAAAAAGTTCAAACTAGGTTAACAATCCTACCTCCGAAACCCCGACGGATTTTTTGATAAAAGCCCCGACCCGAACCCCAAATGCACACACACCCGCATACCGCCCCTCGGGTTGCTACCCTAGTTCAAAGTACCCAAGAACCCAGTAACAGTTTTTACATATGGCCTATAATCCAAAGAAATTGGATCTAATAATTGTTTAAGCTCTTTTTGAACCGTGCAGCACCAGTCATTAATCGCTCAAAAATCATAAAAAATTCAAAAACAAACTCATGAATTTTGAAAATTAAGGAAAGTTGCTCCGCCAATTTTTTCATTCTTTCCTCTAAGGATTTTAATTGGAAATTTGTCGATTCATTAGTGTTCGAAATGGGGGAACAACGTGATTCTTCAATTAAATTTTCATTCTCATGTAAATGATTATGTTCAAATCTGGTAAATAAAGTTGCTTTTCGTTTAATCATTACAGCACGGAAAGGACACAAGTATTCCAATGAATAGTGACAACTAAATTCAAAAATTAATTTTAAATTATTTTGTGTTAAAAATTTAGGTATACGGTCAAACTTCCTTATCAGGGCATCTTCGAAGCGACTGTTAAGGGGTTTGGGGAATGATTGGTAGAAAGAAGGGAGTAGTATCGAGGACCTATTGGTTAACTAAAGTATATTTATTAAATTTGTACCAAGTGCAAAATAAAAATTAACTTTATCTTGCGGTTCACTAGAAATATTAGAGTAATAGAAAGTGTAAAACTGAAAATTGGAATAATACGGAATAACACATTTTACTAAATCAATCTTATGTTAATCCCTCTGTATGGAAGAGATGATGAACTATAGTTGGAAATCTTCAAATATCCGTATCCGATATCAGAAAAAAATTCGGATATCAGATTCTGATATCCGAATTTTTTTCTGATATCGGATACGGATATTTGAAGATTTCCAACTATAGTTCATCATCTCTTCCATACAGAGGGATTAACATAAGATTGATTTAGTAAAATGTGTTATTCCGTATTATTCCAATTTTCAGTTTTACACTTTCTATTACTCTAATATTTCTAGTGAACCGCAAGATAAAGTTAATTTTTATTTTGCACTTGGTACAAATTTAATAAATATACTTTAGTTAACCAATAGGTCCTCGATACTACTCCCTTCTTTCTACCAATCATTCCCCAAACCCCTTAACAGTCGCTTCGAAGATGCCCTGATAAGGAAGTTTGACCGTATACCTAAATTTTTAACACAAAATAATTTAAAATTAATTTTTGAATTTAGTTGTCACTATTCATTGGAATACTTGTGTCCTTTCCGTGCTGTAATGATTAAACGAAAAGCAACTTTATTTACCAGATTTGAACATAATCATTTACATGAGAATGAAAATTTAATTGAAGAATCACGTTGTTCCCCCATTTCGAACACTAATGAATCGACAAATTTCCAATTAAAATCCTTAGAGGAAAGAATGAAAAAATTGGCGGAGCAACTTTCCTTAATTTTCAAAATTCATGAGTTTGTTTTTGAATTTTTTATGATTTTTGAGCGATTAATGACTGGTGCTGCACGGTTCAAAAAGAGCTTAAACAATTATTAGATCCAATTTCTTTGGATTATAGGCCATATGTAAAAACTGTTACTGGGTTCTTGGGTACTTTGAACTAGGGTAGCAACCCGAGGGGCGGTATGCGGGTGTGTGTGCATTTGGGGTTCGGGTCGGGGCTTTTATCAAAAAATCCGTCGGGGTTTCGGAGGTAGGATTGTTAACCTAGTTTGAACTTTTTAAAGTCTCCTTTTCATTCTAAATTTATCTTTTATCTCTTCGAAATAGAGGGGAAAAATTATATAATAAATTAAAAACCAAAGGCATATAAAGCAGAATTAAGGAAAAATAAAAGTGGCATGTACAAGATTCTAAATTTGAGATCCTTGAATCGGTTCCACAAGCTAACATTAATTACCAAATTCATTCTTAAGTCTTTAGGGTTCAATTCCGATACAACCAATATTCATAACAAGGAGAGTGCCTGAGGTGTCCGTAGGACTTCGGAATGAAATTTGGTATACAGATAGATACTCTACTTTTGTTTTGAAATTCGCACCATTTTCGCTTCGAAGTACCAGAGACCGAGTTATAAGCCCCTAAAGTTTCATCCCAAAGTCTTTCGGACACCTCAGGCACTAGACAACCCCGACCCCAAATTTTTTTCGATCCTGAAGGGTCGTGGAGAGACCTTGATTTAATTAAAGGAAAACAAATTTGTGAGTAATTTTAATATTTTAGAGAAGTTTTTCTATTTATTGGAAATGTTAATGATAATTTTGGAAGATTGTTAGCTTTATCAGACAAAAGCACACACATTAAACTTTGCGAATTTCAAAATTGTATATTAATTAATGAACAGAATTTTGACAAAAACTGTGGGCTAGAAAATTTTATAAATTTGGTTGGTGCCAGATTTTCAAGAAATTTTTTATAAAAAATTTTTTCAAGTTGCGAAAGAAATGTGAACAGTTTTTCGACGTTATTGATGTTGTTGCTACTTGAAAATTATTTGAAAATTTTTAATATATTACATGATAATTTTGTTAATTTCTTTAAATTATGAATTGTTTGGATTTATGGGGACACGCCTAAGTAGGCGCGCGGCCAAGTATGCGAAACGCCATAACTACCTGAAAAATTTATGGACCCTAACAATTTTGTAACAATCTCTTTAGCTCGATGAGTGGAGTCGTTTAATAACAAATTTGGTAAGATTCTGAAATTTTGAAGCAAGTTATGACTTTGCACCTACTTGGCCGCGCGCCTACTTGGGCTGTGCCCGGATTTATGATCGCTATTATATACAGGAATAAATTATGTTTATCATATTTCCTCCAAAATAGCTTCAGGGGCTTCTTTGTTCGCTTATTTGAGGTAGGATCAGGGTTGTCGTTTTATCCTATTTACAGGTAGCGTTGAGTGGTAGCGTCCCATTAAAGTGGTTTGGAAACGACAACCATGGGCAGGATATTTTAGAGAAGGGGGGGAGGTTCTATTTTAGACAAACAAACAAAAAATTTTTATCATGATACTCAAAAGTTAAAAGATCAATAAAAAATAGTCATTCAAACTATAAATAATCATTTAAAGCAACTCAAATTATCAAAATCATTCATCTCATGAAGACCAAGCTTGCATTGGACTACTGTAGATTTTATTGGAATAAGGCAGCCCGACATGAGTAATAGGATTATTTTTAAATTTTTTCCAATAGAATACAGCACAGATTGCTAATTCAAGTGATAATGTTAGAAACGAACTCTCGCCGGTATAAGTTGCTAGAGGATATCCAGTGATCTGAAAATATGTATTTGTTTAAGAAAAATAACTATTATAAGTCTAATAAAACTAAATCTCGAAATCACATCTCTGTGATATCTGTATCTTTCCCTATGTATCCTCACAATTCGTCCATTTCAGATATGCCCAACGAGATGAATATTGCTAACGCCTCAAAGGATCTTATATTTCTCTGCTTAAGCCTCCACAATCAAAAACTAACAGATCGCCTACAACCATAGGTAATTCTTCGGTTCGTACCCCCCTCCTTTTTTCTCCTCAAAGTGTTAAAAAATGGTCAGTCAGTCTTATATTACAGAACTCGTCGAGCTGTGTCGAATGATCCAAAATCGGTAATATAAGACTGACTGACCATTTTTAACACTTTGAGGAAGGAAAAAAGAGTGGGGGGGGGGTATCATGGTCAAATCATTATCCAACCCTAGATTAACTCTAGATATCACAACTAACTCAGGTAAACGCCTTATCTATAAGGTGACGGCTTATGCTGACTTTAACGATGAAAAGACGCCCGAAGGTAAAATCTTATCGAAATTCGTATACATAAATTCTGGAAAATTTCTAGTCTTCCCTACAATTTTGAAAAATCATGCAATACTTACAAATTTATATATAAGGTTAGTTTCTCCAGGAATCACATTAAGCAATACTTCTATCATTACAGTAATTTTAATTATTCGGTTGTCCTATAAACAGATTTAGGTTATTATCGGAAGGATCGCAATTTCCCTACCAATTTTTTAATAGCTTCCCCACTAAGTTGAGAAAGCAACCGAAGAAAAACAATGCAACATATAATATTTGCTATCCCAAAACAAGTTTTTGTAACGAGTATTGGATAATTTTTTAGTCGAAGCTGCATACATGATTGGGTTTCGCAATGGATTACTGAGAAAATCAATTTTTAAATTTAATTTTTTATCAGTAGAATTCAAGAATAATGTAGGATTTTATTTTTATATTCACACGGGACTGATAAGATTAGTTCCTATATCAAGGTTATCCCTTATTGAATTACCGTATTTTCTCGATTAATTCCCCTCACTCGAATAATTCCCCCTCTCATTAATTCCCCATGCCAAGGAAGGGTTGAAACAATAATTCCCCACCCCCAAATACCCTACTGCACGTTCAAATGCCAAACTCGAATAATTCCCCTCTCTCAATTAATTCCCCATGCCAAGGAAGGGTTGAAAAATTAATTCCCCAGGGGAATTAATCGAGAAAATACGGTATCAATTATGCTGCTCATCACTTAAATACCAGTCCAATTTTAAAAATTTGTTTTGAAGATATATTATCATTATTGAGTGGTATTATGAAGGTTAGCTTCGTCTGTATGCTATTTTTAAGGTCTAAAGCATCTGGATGGGTCCAGGAGCTAACTCCAGAACCTGACCTGGGCTAGCTCCAGACCTAGCTAGCTCCAGACCTAGCTAGCTCCAGAACCTAGCCGGAAGCGATTTGAAAATGGTCTGGGTATTAAATACTCCCAATGCCCAGCACTTTTTTCTAAGTTCCGAGTTGAAATCTAATCCAACTAAACAAAATAGGCAAGGTTAAGCTTGTCCTTCATTATTAAATTCATTTCACTGTTACTTTCGTTAATTAATTCCACTAATTAAATTTAAACATAATTAACTTACGAATATCATAATCCAACGGAAATTCAAACGAATAGCTTGCTCCGACCCCAACATATACTAATACTAAAATAATTATTCCAGCTATAAAGAACATTCTTCGTCTTTTGCCATTCCAATGACTGATTCCAGTTTTAATCAAAAGACACCGATCCAGACATAGAATGAAGACTAAGATGCTTGATATGGCGTAGTGTAAAGCGTAGAATATGCCGGAAATGAAATGGAAGAGTGTAGCAGAATATACAGGTTCTGTCCCGCGGAGGAATGGTGGACGCCACCATAATACTTTGTAAAAAAGATAGGGCAAGGTTGAGGCTTAAATTATTATAAGATTATTTTTGTAATTTATGTTAAGTAGTGTGGCTGATGTAATTTTTAAGGCATCACTCAATCAAAAGCTTAAGGCTGGGATTATTATACATATTATATTTCAATCTTACACTTATTGCATTGTAACTTAAATAGAAGATCAGACTTGAGACATACAGTTGAGAAAATGATGGCGATTATTGAGACTTCCGAATGATATAAGATCCATTCGGTTTGGATCAAGCATAAAAAAGTAATAGCCGATCCAATTCGGATGAACTAAAATCGAGGGAGATAACATAAGGGTATCGAAAAATCCAATGGTTGGGTAATGAAATAAACTAGTGATCAAGCTGTGCCATGCTACTAGCGATCAAGCTATGCCATGATCAAGTTGTGCCATCCTACTGGGAACCTATTAAGTGACAGTTCCTTCTTATATGAATTTAAAAATTTACCTGCACATAAAACATTGACTGCCAAATAGAGTATCATTGTAGAAGATAACTCACTAACCAGCGAAGACTTTTTGAATCTTGAGGCATAAAGTAATCTGGACATATTAAATACTGTAGTTAAGGTACAGAATAATGCGATAGTATAGATGGAAAAATTTATGTAGGTTACTTGTGGAAATACTGGTACCGTTGTTGTAGTAATATTTACTTGCATTTTCACGTTAAATATTCTAAAAAAAATTCTAGCAGTAGAATGGATACCTTGCAATATTCTGGCTTTAAAAAATTTTTCAGATTGGGTTTCAGATTCAGTGTCATAATAGTACCAGTGGTTACATTATGTGTCTTTTTGAGGCATAAAGTAATCTGTAAAAGCCTCCTAGGTGGTCTCAGTTTGTTTCTATGAGCCACTAGAGGAAATGAACTCCTTTGGGATAGATATAGAAAATATTTAAATTTCAAGTTAAAGTCAAATTATAAGCAAACACTTCGAATTTAAAATTATTCGATTTTATAAAAAATCGGTCGGAGTTGGTTCCAAAAATCTCGAATTACTCGAATGATATGAAAATTTTTATTGTCCTACACTCTTCTACATTATCGAGGTGTGTGATTATTTTTGATGAATTATTAATATGTAGGGATGGGATTTATATGGACTATCAATCAAAAAATATGGACATATAATATGGACTAAAAATCTCAATATATGGACTGAAATATGGACTAAAATCCAAAATATGGATCAAATATGGACCGAAAAATAAAAATTTTTACTGAAAAATAAACCGAATCAACCCCTTTGGTTTTAGGTTTGGTTAGGCTTGAAACCAACAACTATAGTCTGCATGCCAACAGAATTGAATACCAAACAGAACGATTTGTGACTATGACTACGACTTGAAGCTGTCACAGTGCTAGTTAAGGTTGTTGTTTTATACTAAACTTGCGCCACCCTAATATAATTATAAAATTTTATTTGATAATAAATTCTAACTTGAAAAATTCGCAAGGAACATAAAATTGAAACTATTTTTAATAATCTGGACAAAAAATTGGAATAAAAATTTTTAGTTAGGTAATAATTTTAATAAAATAAAATTTTAATTTGTCCAATTAACTAAATTGTTAGTTAAAAAAATCAAGAAAAAATTAAAAAATGTTATTAACACAAATTTAATTTAATTTTAAGCTAAAATTATAAGTTCAGGTGCTATATTTAATTTAATTTATGGTAAATTCAATTATAATATTTAATAAAAATAAATTTTTTGGTACTGAAATTAAACTTAATTATAACATTTAATGAAAAAATCAGTTTTGGCACAAAAATGAAAATAAATATACTATAATTAAGTTATTAAATAACGGAAGCTGGTTAGTTAAATGAATTTAAAATAAAAATTTTTTGCCGACGCATTTAATTTGTGGCCTTAAATTAGATGCAGTTGACAGTTTTTGGCTTAATTAAATCAACAAGTGAGCTAAATAGCTCTCTTGAACTTGAATTTGGAGGGGGCGTTAATGCTGCAGCAGATTTACAAGGAATTAAGTTTGAATCTCCATCGTGACTTTAAGTGATATACAATAGAAATGCCCCAGAAGCGTAAATTTTCCAGGACTCGAGTCCAAACTAGATTTTAAGACCAGCCGGATAAACCAATAATATTCTGAGTCATGTCTCACGGCCAGGAGTGATAACGGAGATATCAGGGGGTTAGAGGGATACTGGGTAGATTGGTCTCCAGATACAGAACCAAGATTTCTGACCCTCTACATAATTTGTTCATATGCTTACCGTCTTATTATTCACTATCTTCTTAAATTAACTCTATGTTAAAGTGTTAATTTAATTTTTAAAGGTGAGAGAGTTAGAGAAATTTAATTAAATATGGAAAAATTCAATATATTCCACGTATTTTACCATTCCCCCTGGCTCTCAAAAAGTATCTTTTATCTCTTAATGCCTGCCTGCTATTGAAAATCGAATGTCTAAAAGTCGTATGATTTTGTCTATAATAAAATTGTCGAGGCTAGAGAAATTTAAATAAAAATTTTAGAGGGGAATTTTGTATAGCCTTAGTAAATACAATTTCTTGCTATATTCTTTTTTTATATTCTTTGACATTATACAAATAATTTTAATGATATTGTATTAAATAATTTTAAAAATAAATATTTCTAAAATTATTTGAAGAAGATCTCTAAGACTTCAATCCGTTTAAATATAATTTTTAGAGAATACCCTTTATCCCCCCAATTTTTCCAAAACTTTTAAAATGTTTCATAATTATTTTATATTTTTTGAGTTCTGTAATGAACGTTTGTAGAGCTAGTGGAAATGGTAATAATCATATATGGCACTGTAAATTTAGTTTCTGAAAAATTCCATCAGCTTTGCACCTACATGGCCGCGCGCATACTTGGGCGTGCCCTAAAATAAGCCTAATTATTTTTAAAATTACGGTATGAGAGATATAATGAGTGATCCTTTTTGAGTTGCGGAAAGGAGTAATTGAGAGTATGGGGCATTATATCAGGGAACATATGGGAGGAGTTTACCTAGTAAAGGGACTCTGTGAAAATATTTTCGGTATTGGATATCTCTCTCCAAATTCTGACTATCAAATAAACTGATATCTCTCAAAAACTCTCACTTCCGCTCTCTCTCTAATACACTAATATCCCCGATATCTCTCAAAGTTACCCTTAATCAACCTCTATAAATCGTACAAATCCTTATATATTTATGGACTAACTATGTTAGACATAGAAATTTTTTCCACGATTTTTATTAGACATTGTTGAGAGTGCCTCTCCATTGCCTTACTGACTGTTGGACATTGACAAAAAAATTCATAACGCTTTAAGCAATGAATCTTTAATTGCCAAATGATTTTCTATTTCTCTAACCTCTAAAAATTTTAAATGAATGCTTTAAAAATTCTTGTGATTTTTAAAACATTTTCAAAAGGAATAGAAAATTAAAAGTTTTGTCAATGTTTTCTGCCAAATTCTGCCAAGCCTGGATACAATCTGTATCTCTTGTTCAGTGATGCAAAAGTTCCAAAATTTCTCTGGAACCGGTTCCAGTTCCGGAACCGATTTTTAAATTTTGGCGGTTCCAGTTCCAGTTCCGGAACCGGTCTTGTTTCAGGCGTATAGGTCGGCCCATGTTAGTCATTAATTTAGAATTTTTAAAATTTTTAGAGGTTAGAAAGTTTGATAAATTTAATCAGGCAGAAAAAGCATTTAATTAATTCACATGACTCTCAAAAAAATTTATTTTCTTTACTCAATGCCTGCCTGCTTAAAGAAAAATCGAATGTCTAAATGTCGTATGATTTTGTTTACAAGGCTAGGTAAATAAAAATATAGAGGGGGCATGCCTCTCAATTCAGTGATGAGGAGGGGGGGGGGGGAAAGTGGAGGGATGGGGGAGAGGAGAG